ACTAACTGAATAAAATAATAAAATATGACAAACATAATCATAAACTACCGATATGATATGTAAATAAAATAAATGATAGCGCAATTGCGTATGGTTGTAAAAGTCATAACTATAAAAGCCATGGAGCTGAGTATCGATGGTATGAGAATAACACAACAATAATCGGTGTACATGAACTGGTTAGAGCCCTGGAGGCAGAACTGAGCTTTCAAACTCTTGATATCATATTCAAATAAAATCTCAAAGTAAAGTAAACGACTTTTGATTGGCTGGTTTTTAATTTTAGCAAAGAGCCACTCTTCTCAAAATGACAAAGTGAGTTTGTTATTGCATCGGTAAGAAAATACACAAAATAGTAAAATAAACAAAAGCATTAAATGAAAAGATACATAAATAAAAGATTGATAAAAATAATAAAGTCTAGACTGGTTATATTATTGGCGGTCGAGTGCAGACTCAACTAAACTCAGCTCAGAAGTTTGAGAATTTATAAACATTTAAAAGATATATAACGAGATATATACATAGAGATGAGAGGAAGCCAAAGCAGAAGTTGGAGATCGAGTGGTTACCGGCTCCTTGAGGGTTCTTATCGTCGGTCTTTAATCCACGAGACCAGGCTACCGATTCCCCAGCACATGTAAAAGCTAAATACCCACTGGCGATGTATATATAGTACTCTTTTTTGTTATTCTTTTCTTATACTTATACTTATACTTGTACTTGTACTTGTACTTGTACTCATACGAATTAACTTCTCGGCTCGTGGCAAAATAAATACAACTTGCTACGGAATTCGCCATGACGTTTTTTACGTCCCACGATGTTGGTACACGCGACATAAAAATAATCGTTATTAAGTATACTGCGAACAAAATAATGTCGGGTTATACTTTTTACCTTTCTCGTTTTTATTTTTAAAATTATAATAAAAGTTTCATTTATAAATAAAATATGTATAGTAAGACGGTGATCGTGAACAAGACGTTGATGACAGAACCAGAGGCTGTGAGCTCATAAATCAGGTACCAATTAGGGACCAGCCACTGGTTCAACATCATTATTGTTGTAATTTTTCATCGTGATCGGTGATAAAATATATCAGGTTTGCTTTGTGTAATAATAAATTAATATTCATTTTTTACTTTGGGAATTTTTGTCTTGTAATCGCGTCTAGTAAATCATTTTCACCAAAATTATACTAATTTTGTATTCAATATTTTTTATTTTATTTACGAAGAAAAATTTAGAAAAAAAATTGATCTTTCTTTTTTATAGTCGTTGATAATATGTTTATTGAATATAAAATTAAATATTATATTAATTTACCAGGCCTATTTACAGATGGTAATTCCATCTCTATAAAAGTACTGTATGAACATTTGATATTATTACGTTTTCCATCGTGCAGTATTAAGTATCTGTAATTAGCTTTCAAAGTGAAAACATCTAAAAATATATAGCGGCAGTTAAGTTGTTTTTTAATAATTTTTTGTGACCATCGATTGCAAGGATCTGGGATCTGTCGCAATTAAACAAAATTGTTGTTCATTTAATTCTTAACTGAAATTGAAATTAAACGCGTTATCAAAGTTAAGCGGAGACCAGAGAGTGGATGATCAGCAGTGAAATAAAATGAAGTAATCAAAAAATGATACTCCATTTGTGTTCAGCAATATAATGTAAAGTACGCGGAGAAGAGTGTTTAAAGTTATTTAGTTATCTTTTAAAGATGTAACATGAGAATAAAGAGTGCGCGGTCCACCTACATCCCGAGGGCGCGTCTCGTTTATATGCTTTGTCCATACATTCTGACTTAACTCAATATATTTAACATTACCATTACCATTAACATAAACAGTGCCAAGCTATAGTGTGCTCTTGAGTCTCTTCTTCGTATGTATTCGTCCAGAGTATAGACATTGATCGTTTACTTCACGTCTCATTCCACGAAAGTACTCACAGTCGTTTTACACCGTAAAGATAACGTGACGCGATGAGAATTGCTGGTTACAATATCAAACTTTTTCCCTGCCTGCTTCTCACCCTCCGCCTTGTGTTATCCGTCGTCTTCATTCCCTGGTATGGGCTCACTTAAGTGGCAACACACCGGTATACTCATCCGGCTCTTATTTACCATTACCGTCCTTTCTGATTACAATAATATTCAGTCCTGATTGTACCTTTTACTTTAATCATTTAATTTTTAAACTAATGTCATAAAAAAAATTATAAATTAATTTGTAAAAGTTTATCACTTGGATTTTTTATTATTTTATTTTATAATGATCAATTAAGCGTTGAGATATTGTTGTTGAGAAAGAATGAAATTGACATAATAAAAATGATCACGTTATTTCTTAGAAGAGTCAATTAGCCACGAGATTCTTGAATAACGAAACAATTTCATATGTCACTCAAATTATTATTTTTAATTGATAGTAACAGATTTTTTAAAACTTTCATTAATTTGAATCAAGCTTCATTTTCTCAAATTATTATTAAGTGTTCTTGTTCTTATATATCGAATAATAATCCGTCTTATTTTATTTTATGATTAATCCTCGAATTATTTATAGACAACTCTTAAAAATTTTGAGTTTATTTAAATAATTTTCTTGTTTGAATTACACTAAATAAATTTTTGAAAATTTGACAACCAATCATCATTGAATTATCTGTAAAATAGTATAAAAATTATATTTGTTTGCTTCGAATTATGAGCGGTGTAAAAAAATAAAAAAATTTTTTATTAACTTAATAAATTTTCTCAACGGACACAGATAGAATTTTAGAAAAATTTTCCAACTATTTCTAGAGTAAAAATATTAAAAATTTTCTACAGTATTAATGTTGCGATTATGATTATTATCATCAATAATTTATACCCGCAATCCGACTAATGAAATTGAATAAAACGTGAATTAGATATCAGAGTAAGTGATGACGTAAAAACATTAGAGATTTTAAAAAAGTATACTTATATACTCGATTTGCCGAGTTATTCGGCCTCAGGAGCTTTTAATTTCCCGCATCACGGCACACATGAATAGCCGACTGTTCGTCTCTGTAAACTCGCTCAAACTATCAAATGCGTACTACATATTATAACATACATAACATATAGTAGTACACTAGTTGCAAATTATAAATTATAAATCAGCCTTACGCGATACAGATACTGCTAACTGAAGATATTTTTAACACATTTAAACCCGTATCTCTCTTATTAGCTCATTACTTATGTATTGAGCTAAAAATAAAATAAAACTTCGCATTACGATCTATTAAAAATTAAAAAACCAGCCATTATTAATTTATTAAACGAAACGAGCTCTGTCTGTTCCGTAATCTATTCCGTAACATATTTAATAAAAAACTTAAATTGAAATTCCATCAAATAATTTACAGTACGTTAACAAGTATGAATAATTGCTTGCAGATCATTCTTATCGCAAGCATCGCAACGTCTCGAGTATCAAAGAGTCATTTGTCATAGAATCATACACACGGTGACTCATTATTATGACGGTAATAAAAAAACACCTAGCCCATGCACTTTTAAATTTGCAATAACTCGATTTTTATTCATTTTTCACCGTATTTTTTTATCTCTTCATTTAAATTATTAATCTGAGAAATTTAAATTAAAAATAATTGTAAAATCTTGATGGAGATAATGAGAAACTTGTTAAAAAATGTATATTAAAATTAATATTAATATTAACATCTGATAAATGTTAAATTAAAAGCTTGAGAGTTAATATTGTAAGATGATCATGCCTCGAGTTAACTCTCTTCTCCTTGTAATAGCTTACAATTTATCGATCAATAAATCGAAAAGCAGTCAGGTATCACTTACTGCGTAATGCTACCTTCAAAATGGTTAATCACTAGCGTCTCAGTACACTCCTTCAACGAATAACATACCTTGATATGTGTATAGGGCTCTCGGATCAGGAAAATGTTGAAGAAAAAAAAATTGTAAAAGTAAAAAAAACAAACAAGATTAAACAGTTAAATCTATAAAATTAAAATAGTTTAATCATTTAACTGATAAAGATCAAATGTTCTGTAAAATAAGCTCTGCATAATTTATAATGAATCTTATTTCTGTTGTCTCTCAGATGCTTCATTAAATGGCTTACATTAGACACATTATCTTTTGGCTTTTGGTCATTTGCAAAAAATAATTTGTTTTTTTTATGAACTATCATACGTAAATAAAAATTCAGTCTTTGATCCCGTTATTTTTCGATGATTGATGATACATTATATACAGTTTATAACATACATTGTTTTTATAATATAATGTTAAGGCTTTTAAGTATAAAGTCTGATATTATGTCAGACGACACTTGACTATTAAATTGCCGGTTATTAAGATTAGATTTAATAAAATGCTCTTTACAAAGTGTCAACGTGTCAAAATGTCTAGTTTTGATGGAGTATAATAAAGTTATGCCTAGCATAGGCTACTGAAGAATATAAATATTTGCTCATATATGCGTAACTAATTATGTAATCGGAGTTTAATATAAAAAAATATCATCGGTGATAAAAAAAAAATGTGCGATTATGATTAACCTGTACATTTAATTGTTGATGATGTTTAATTAATTGGAGACTTTATTGATGTATTAGAAAAAAGACACCTGTTTAATCGTGTCGGTAATTAAACTCACCACCTTTGTTATTGTGTACGAGATATGTTTGTAAATAGAGGCGTTGATCAATTGATTCACGGCATCGCTTTATCTCTTTGTCGTCTGGTTCATTTACATACAATGTAATACTTAATACTTTTCCGATATATATGTGTGTATGTGGATATATGTATATATAATATATGGATGTTTATGTTTTGCGATCGTTAAACGTTAATTGTAATATGCGAGCCAAGTGCCAGAAGGCGTGTCTGAATTTGAATAACGATAAGAGTATTGAGATGATGCTACAATATTTTGCATTACTTGTTTTCTTTTTTAAATAATAAAATTATGATTTTTTTTTTCTTCTCAGGATGCCGATGTAATATGATTGGTTCTGTATCTTCAGGATGTGATATCGTGACGGGGCAATGCAAATGCAAGCAGAATGTTGTGGGGAGACAGTGTCATCAATGTGAGGTACAGTTTAAAATTTATCAATTGATTTTTATTGACATGCCTCCCTGAAAATTGAAAAAGATATTTAGCGAATTTGTTTGTAAAAACATTCCTGCAAACATTTTTGGATTGATAGAAAGATTTTTTAATATTTAATAAGTCTTATTAAATTGAATTTATTAACTATTAATAAATCTACTTTTGATCAAAACAAAAATTTATTAAATGTTGAAAAACATTTATTTATATTTAATAAATGAATAAATTGTTTCTGAGCAAAAGAAATTGTATATAATTTAAAAATTTATATTTTTACAAATCTTAAAAATGTATTAACTAAAATTTTAATAATAGTTCTTTTAATCAAAAATTACTGAAAAATTTTTTTGGTAAACCTTATTATTTTTTTGTTAATAAAATATTTAGATAGGACACTGGGGTTTATTGACCGGAACAGGATGTACTGCATGTAGCTGCCATCCCGTAGGATCATACAATATCACATGCGACCACAATACAGGCCATTGTTACTGCCGTCCCGGAATCGGAGGTAAACACTGCGACAATTGTCTCCCAGGCTACTACGGATTCTCCGAAAACGGGTGTCAAGGTTAAATTATCGTCATTTTTAATCTTCTTTTTTCAGTTATTTATTTATCTGTACAGTAAAAATAATAAAAGTGATAAAAATTTCAGCTTGCGAGCCGTGTACGAAAGCGGGACACATATGTGATCCAGAGACAGGCCGGTGTGCCTGCCCACGTCTGACCTGGGGCGAGCACTGCGACCGCTGCAGGCCCGACTCTTACGAACTGGTACCAGGTGTAGGCTGCAAGCCTTGCGCCTGTTCGCCGGGATCGACAAAATCTCAATGCAATTTATCGGGACAGTGTCCGTGTCGTTCTGGGTTCGACGGGCTACGCTGCGACCGGTGTGCGCCCGGTTATTACGGTTACCCCAAATGCAAACCGTGTAATTGCGACCAAGGAGGTACTCTGCAATGTCCCGAGGGGATCTGTCATTGCGACCGTAATGGACAGTGTCCATGCAAGGTTATTAAATTTAAATCTTTTAATTTTTTCATTCAGAAATTTTATTTCCATTTCCTTATTTTTTAAATTTTACTCTGCTAATGTCAAAAGGCCGTATAAAAATTTTTTATTTATTATTTCTGACTTTCTGCTTCTAAAATTGAATGTTTTGAATTTTTAGCTATAAAAATTAATAATTTTTGGAAACTCTAAAAATTATTTAATTCAATTGGATTTTCATAGATGAACTGTTGTTTAAATTCTACGTTTTGGTGCCTCAAAAGTATTTTTTTTAATTACAATTTTTATAGCCAGAAACTTTTAAAGCAAAAAATTAAATTACAATTTTTTCTTATAAACGCCTTTTTGGCTACAAGAAAAAAAAATTCTTAAAGCCAAAAAAAATTTTATTCTTCATTTTTCCAGTGAATTTCCACATTTTTAATATTCCTAGGGTGATTAGAGCAAAAAAAATTTTTCATACTCTTTTAGCATTAATAACGCAATTTATCATCTGTAATTTTTTTTTTTTTTTTTTATGTAAAAAATATTAGAATCCCTCAAATTTCTAAGCAGTCTCTTAAATATCAATTTTGTGAATTCAACAGAAAAATGTTTACGGAAGACGGTGTAATAAGTGCGTGGAAGGCACTTTTGGTCTCTCGAAAGACAACACCGAAGGCTGCACAGAGTGTTTCTGCTTCGGAAGAACCTCAAAGTGTCAACAGGCGAGCCTCAGTTGGGGCTCTCGGCATCTCACGCACTTACGAACTCTACGCATCGATGATTCTGTCAATGATGTCATCGTAAGTTACTTGGCACAAGGCCAACATTTTTTACTTATATGTATTATTATTATAATTATTTTTATTATAAGTCCGGTGCGACTAGATCCAGGAATTAAATGCCCTAGTCATGCTTGTGCTTATGAATGATTTAATATGTCCTATCCTGGCATCAAGTCAGATTACTTGATTGATAAATTTCTTTAAAATATTGAATTCATAATTATATGTTTAATGTATCAGGTTGCCAACTTCGGATACTCAGTGGTTCTACCGACCTTGAATGGCGGTCTAAATCTGACGAACGGTCTATCGATTATACCTGGTACTTCTGGTGATGTAACGTTGCCGGCTAATCTTTATTACAATTATCCGCTCTACTGGCAGCTTCCGCAATCTTTTCTTGGTGACAAAGTATGTTTTCTTTTTAATTTATCTAATATTTTTTAAGTTCACTTTAAGGGAATTTCTACCTGGAAAATTCAATTAAAAATGATTTTTATTGATATACCTAATTTAATTAATTATTTTAAACATTAAAAAAAATTTTTAATTAATTAATTAAATAAATAAATATAATTTTGCTTTATTAAATAGTGACTTTTATTAAATTGTACTGTACTTTCTTAACTATTTACATTTTTAAAGAAATAAGCTCATCCCGATGTTACATTCATCAAGAGCTTTCATTTGAGTACCCACATGCATTTTGATATATTTTTCATATATACATATATATAATATATATAAATATATGAAAAATTGATGTGGGTACTCAAATGAAAGGTCTCGATGAATGTAATGTTAGGGTGAGCTTATATCTTTAAAAATATCATTAGTTGACAAGATAGCTATGTCAGTTCTTAATTATTGACATTTTTAAAGATATAAGCTCATCGCGATGTTACACTCATCAAGAGCTTTCATTTGAGTACTCACATACATTTTGATATATTTTTCATATATATATATATATAT